GTGATTCCTGCACACGTGTGGTGATTTCTACACTCATCAGGTACTCGTGAAGCCTTGCGGGGAAGGATGGTTAGACCACATTGCCATGGTCGTTACCAAAGTGCAGCTAAGCCATGCTGTCCTGCAGCGAGAGGAGGAGTTGCCCTCGCGTTACCTTGAAATAGGACAGTTGGCCTGGTGTGGTTCYGCCAGCCCCTCGGCAGGGTTTGACTCTTAAGAAGCAGTAATGGGATTTAGGGAGGATTAAACTCCAGCACTGCCCACTTACACAAATGGCCACCCGACCCGCTCCGAGGGGCACGGTCCTGTCATGTGGCGGCCCTGCTGTTCACCTCGGAAATCCCCGAGCGGGCACTCGGATGTAAGAGGCTAATTGCCGCTCAGGGAGGGATGAACACGTCCTGCAATGTAAAGCTGGAGCCTAGGAGGTGGCCTCCCCTGTCCAGATGCAGGAGAGGTGGCTGTGTGGTCACACGGGACACAGGGATGGGTGAGCTCACCACGACTCTGGATAGGAGATTTTGAAAAGAACAATAAAATACTAAGAGAAAGAAACTTTAAACAAATTTTTTTTTTTAATTCGTTCCTAAAGATTCAGGGGGACTCAAAAACACTTGTACAGAAGTGGGTATTTGTTTGAATGAAACATTATCTTAAACTTCTCAGGAAGTTCCCTATTATTCCCTATTATACTTGAGTCTAAGCATCAAAATTGAAGCAGTTAAACTCCCAAAGGCCAGAATTTTGTCTCCCGGAGCAGATGTGCTAGGGTTCCCATGGTTTTAGTTCACATAAGATTTTCTGAGGCAGCTTTTAAAAATCAAGATCTTGGCACTTTTAAAGGCCTGGGCCACTCTGCTCAAGCACAAGTTTATTCAAGGGCACGAGCCAAATCTGCTGCTCCTTCACCTTCTTCCTGTGCCTTGGATCTCTCTCACACCATGAAGGTGATTATATCTTGGTGATGAGTGACATGACTTCTGATTTCAAGGCTGTCTTTCATGGATAAGCATGTGCAAAATGTGGTATGTACATGCAAGATTTTTKGGGGGGTAAAATGCAGAACAAGCCATTTGGCTTCCAAACTTGATTTGATTTGCCATGCCACTTAGTTACATGTGTCATACATGACCGCTTACTCACTTGTACAGAGCTGAAATGATCCTATCCCTGTAGCAGGGGGCTTTTTTTAAAAAAAAACTCTCTTTTTTTTTTTTTTAATGTGTTTTACTAGACGAATGTCATGAAGTAGCGGAAAGATTAGTTAATGCTAAAATAAGGATTCTTTATTATCACGGCCATGATGGAGGAAGTCCTTTTCTAGAGGAGCTTACCTTTCCACCCACACACAACTTCAAGGCTCTTAGCTTGATGCCTTAAAATACTGATTGCGATTTTTGTGATGCTTCTAATCTGCATTGTTTGCTGCCTATTAGAGTCTTCATCACAAATCCTGCCTCCTGTAGGGCCTAATGTTGCTAAGTGTCCCACGCGACCTGTGATGGTGGTTGCCTCTGCTGCGTGCAGGTGAAAGGCTGGAGCCAGGACCCAGCCACAAAGACGAACTCTTCCCGTGTGCTCTGGTGGTTGGCCTGGTGCCCAAGTGGCAGCATTGCGGGGGTCGGTCAGCACGTGTTTGTGCTGCTGGCAGGGYGGCCTGGTTGGCTGGTTCACTTCCAAGAGTTTTCAAGGCCTGCACCAGCACACAGGCGGGCTTCACCTTCATGTTGAGAAGAGACTACTCACGTATGTAATGAAACCAAATGCAACAGGAGGGTAGTGTCCATTATTTCTTCTGGATCACAGTGTGATTTGTCATGATCAGTRGGCTCCCCCTTTCCCATGCCTGAAGGAGGGATGGGAGATAGAAGTGTTTCCGTGTGCTGGAATGATTTGAGCTACATTGAAAACTGTGCTGTCTTCTTGGTGCTATGCTTGGATTGAAAACTTGCATGTAAATATAAAGTGTTGTAAGGCTCCTTATCCACAGTCCCTTTTCTCTTTCCATGGAAAACATGGGCCTATTCTGACAGCTTATGTTTGATTGATAGGATTGGAGCCCACAGATGGTAAAATGTCTTTGGGATTGGAGTTCAGCGGGATGCCTAATCCTTAAAATAAATTTACATCCTTAAATAAACTTAATTAAAAGCATTAAAGAAAGCTGTCTTCGTTATTCAAGAGCACTGCTGTGCAATGTCACATCTGGAGCGAAGGGATCATTAGGTCCCTAATGCAGGGTGCAGTTATCGCCTGAAGAACTCGGAGAAAGTTGCATTCCCAACTCTAAGCTTCATAGTTCAAAACTAGACTTCAGTCTTTCTTCAGACACCCAACGAACTGCTAAAGGAGATGCTCCCAGAAGCCAAGTGGCATCTGTAGTTTGTTACACTCCAGCAGGATCCAGGGACTCCAGGGCAGGGTTATTGCTTCGGTGACTGAGACCTGTGCAGGTTTGGAAGGAGTTGTGGTCCCTGCCTCGTAAGGGATTGAAGGTGAGACAGAGCATAGATGTATGTAGATTTGTTGTTTATTTCTAATCAGTTTTAATAATTTATCCCAATCATATGCTTCTAATCCAGTTCTAGTGAAGGTGGATAAGCAAAACTCATTGAAATCATTTCCAGTACTACTTACCAAATTACTGTGCTTTACAAGTAGTTTTAGGCACCTGGAGGGTGACAGGATGCTGGAACACAGAAATATATATGGTTGATTATGCAGAGTTTGGGCACTGTGTTCTCCAGTCACATCAGATGAATTGCAAGGTGAATTTCATTGCTGAAAAGCTGTCAGAAGTTTGGAAATAATGAATATCTGTAGTGAGATCTGCAGAGGAGAAATGACTTCAGTTCCTCTGGTGGACTGAAATATGGGATGGGAGAAAAAGCTTTTTCTACGTGGTGCTGTTCAGCATTCACAGAATCAGAACACAGCAGAGTGTTAAAGGTGGACTTGAAATAGCTCCTTAAGGTGATTACTGATRAAGAATTTGCATTTAAGAAAAATGTCCATCTCCTGCTTGAAGAAAGAGACAATTTCATGTGTCACATGCATTTCAAATTCTACCTAAGTATACAAGATTTTGGAATTCAGAATACTTGGCACTAATCAAACAAAACCAAAAAATACATAGAACTGGTGGAAAAAATGGGCATATTTTTAAGGTAAATGAAGAAAATAACTTTCTTGAAGATTCAAATTTAGTCCCTTGTTGTGCTTTGCTTCCAATGTTAAGACTTTCCCTGAAAGCAAAGCCTTCCTCTGCCAAGCTGTCTATAGCTAGTGAAATCAGATTAAGACTGAAAAGCAGGTTTGTCTGCAACTACTCTAGGCTGGCATCTGCTACCAGTGGTTTTTAAAGTTGTTCTGTTTTTTTTTTTAAGGTTGGTCTTTTCAAGGATACAAAGAAAATCCCATAAATCTTCCTCTCTTCCAGTTATCCTGGGTCACAGAGAGGTTGTGGCATGGGCATTATGTGACCAACTGCTCCGATTGGCAAAGGGCACAGGCAGGAGAGCGGGATTAATGCTGCTGAAGTACAAGAAAATTTAACCCTCAGTTCACAGGMCTTCTCTTCAGTCACACATGTCCGGTCCTTTAACAGTCCAAATACAGTCAGGTTAGACACTGGTTTACTTCCTAGCATATTATGTTGCTGTATCATTATCCTGCCTTATTTTTTTAAATAAATGATTAATAAAATTATAATTTCTGAAACTTATTTAAATTCCTTGTGAAGTTGAATCCCAAGAAATTGTGTTATTATTTGGGGTTCTGCAATTTTTTTTTGTTACAGCTATAATTTTTGCAAATTGAATGGGATCTCTCCTTTCTCCAAAGACATTTGTCGTACAGCTTTAGTACTCTGAATTTGACTCATCCATCAAGGGCAGTTTCACGTGTATGTGGTTATTAGGAAGCAAGTGGTTTCTCTCTTGCTCTTCTTTTTCATTAATGAGAAAATCAATCACTTCGATAAAAAATTCAGGGAGAGAAGTAGTATGAGTGGAGAAGATCCATCAATTTCATTTTCAGTCCATGTCATGCCCTGCACATTTGCATGTAGGCAGTTGTAGTGTTCTGTATATTAATTTCAGCAGTCCAGGCTGGGGACTGACCTGCTGGAGAGCAGCCCCGCAGAGAGGGACCTGGGCATCATGGTGAACAACAAGTTGACCACAAGGCAGCAGTGTGCMCTGGTGGCCAAGAAGGCCAATGGGATCCTGGGGTGCATTAAGAAGAGCGTCTCCAGCAGGTCGAGGGAGGTGATCGTCCCCCTCTACACAGCCCTGGTAAGGCCACATCTGGAGACTGTGTCCAGTTCTGGGCTCCCCAGGACAAGAGGGATGTGGAGCTGCTGGAGAGAGTCCAGCGCAGGGCTACGAGGATGATCAGGGGCCTGGAACATCTACCATATGAACAAAGGCTGAGGGAGCTGGGCCTGTTCAGCCTGGAGAAGAGGAGGCTGAGGGGGGGACCTGATCACYGTGTATAAATACCTCAAGGGCGGTAGTGAGGAGGAGGGGCTGGCCTCTTGTCAGTGGTGGCCAGCGATAGGACTAGAGGAAATGGCCACAAGCTGAGGCACCAAAAGTTCCACAGGAACTTAAGGAGACATTTCTTGACAGTGAGGGTGCCAGAGCCCTGGAACAGGCTGCCCAGAGAGGCTGTGGAGTCGCCTTCTCTGGAGATCTTCAAAACCCGCTTGGACGCAGCCCTGTGCCACGTGCTCTGGGTGACCCTGCATGAGCAGGGGGGTTGGACTAGATGACTTCTGAGGTCCCTTCCAACCTTAAGCATTCAATGATTCAATGATTAATGCACTGAGGAGCATACAGCATGTGGATTGTACTACCCTGGCTGCCCCTGTTATGGCAACACTCTCRCTGTACTAATGCTGGGCCTTTCTGCTTCCTTCAGTGTGTCAGGAAACAGTCTGGGAGGTCTTCAAGACATTCTGGGATAGACTGCCAGAGCGTGAAGAGTATCATACCTGGATGAACCTGTGTGAGGAAGGAGCAATGAGCATTCTGGAAATAGGCACCAACTTCAGTCAATCAGAAGAGCACAGGAGTCTGATCATGAAGGTAGGTGCAGCACCAGGATGGTGTTTCCTCATGAACAAGGGCATAGCCTACCACAGCAAAGTATAGTTTAGCATGTGTGAGCATTTGAAAGCGTGCACAGATGTTATTTTGCAGGTCATTTTGAGACTAAAGGCTCTGGAAGCAAAATTATAAGTCATCTCATGGAAGGAAGCAATTGTGATAAGGAGAGCATTGTCTTTAAGAGATATGTTCCAGATGCAGGAAGGATGGCCTAACCTGAAAAGGCAACCTGACATGGGGCAGACTGTGATGTGTTGCCCAGTGTGGTCTGTGATGTTCACTGCTGCAAACTACATCTGTTCTGGTACCTGCAGCTCCAATGACTCTTTGAAGCAGGAGGTGCTGAGCAATATTTCTGCTTCTGTCAAGGATGTAAGACAGAAGTACCTCCTTGGTGCTTTACACTGCTATAGGTTTGCCCTGCCTGCACATTGTAGCCTTACTGAAATGAATGGAACTATGAATATTAAAGACTGTAATGTCTTATCAAGGCAATTGATGACTTTTCACTGGAAGGAGTTGTAGAGCTTAAAATTGTGAATGTATGTGTGGTGGATGTAAGTGTACGTRTAGGGAGAAGGGAAAATATTGCTGAAGACTTGGGTGTGATCTGTTATTTCACTTGAAACAAGCTTATTTTGACATAAARCAAAGGAATATTAACATTAACTAAATAAGCCTTTCTCAAATGAAATATGAAGAGAGTTTGTACCAATTTTAAAATTAAGTCTTAAATAAGTTAAATACCTAACTTCTTATACGTTTAAAGTATTGTAGATCTTTTATCAGAGCAGAACAATTTTCTCTGATTAAAAGATTGTCCTAACATGTCTGGTGGCATATGCATGCTGCTTTAAATTAGTTTCTATGTTTTTGCAAGCTGTAGGTGTAGTTTCATGCAAATCATGAGAAATCTTAAATACGTGTTCTCATAGAATTAGTGAAGTTTTGCTAGTATGGATATGCTGACATTTTTCTTCTCTGTTTTTTTATGGACTCCTATGTTAGTAGTATGCACTGAGGGCACAAGTATGAACGGCTACAGATAACAGGGAAAGATTTTTTTGTTCTGTTTTTTTCTTTCTGAGCTTCTATGTTAGACCTCACAGGTGCATGTTAGTCACAGGCTGCATCTGTGATATCTCGTGGTACTGTTATCCTTCGATTTTGCAAAAACATGGAGACAAACATAATCCACGTGTACCTTTTATGTGCACAGTGAATATATAACTGCCTTAGGTAACATTTTGGTAGTGAGATGATGTATAATGAGAGTTGTTTGGCAATGTTATTAAACTGCCATTAAATATAAGTTATTAAACAAAATCAGGATGATTGAGATGCTGGATGATATGTCAAGTTTCCCATTCTGCTTTACCTTTAGGGTATGTTCCTTAAATATTGTAAAGGAGTGAGATAAAGTACTCTGTATTTGATGATTTATTCAGATAAATTATGTGTAAGTTAAGCTTCCTTTTTTTTTTTCTGTAGCTGGGTATATTCCTTTCAGCACTATAATATTGCAGGAAAAGATTGTTAATCTTCACTTTCAGCACAGCTGGTAAAAGATGACAGTAGTACGGGCTTATTTCATGGCAAACCAGTCTGTCTTCAGAGGGACTGACTAATATCAACAATGTGTAAATGTCACATGTCTGACTGGTTCTGAAATACGAACTTGGTCTCAGTTTAAATTTGAATTAAAAAACGATGGTGAGAACAGTTTATCCCTTCCCTAGTCAGCTTTAAAGGCCTAGTAGTGTATTTTTTMAATATGTAGGTCATAGTATAGATTTAATCGCTCTTTCTCACATGTGCAGAGGTACAAGGTGGCCTTGGAGAGTGAAAACTCTTTAAAACAATTCTGCAAGTCCAACCAGATGCAGGTTTAAAACTCTGCTTTTAGGCAGGTGTTAAGTTGCTTGCACACATCTCTCTTGATGGTACAAGTTGAGACCCATCTTGGTCTAGGAAACATTTTTTCTCTCATTACAACTTGTCCATTTGTTTGCTTGGGGCCAGGCATTGACATTCACATCCTGATTCCTTAGGATCAATTCCCCGAAGTGCTGAGAATTTCTCACCCAACAGTGAGGGTTACCATTGCTGCACAGCATTCATGGTGCCTCCTGGGATAACATGTGTGAATAATCCACACTCCTAGTTGCTTGCAAGGAAGAATCAACTTCCTTTTGCACTGTAGAAAAGCATCATATATACTTGGTAGTTCAGTCTGTGAACTCTTGGACTGGACATTATATGCTTCATTAAGGAACACTGCTTCTGATCTTGCTCTGCTCTCCAGACTCTGTAAATCATCTGTGGTGACTTTCAGCAGCTTAGTTTAGAATTTGCAGCTGATAGAAGTATTCCTACTTCTTTCTGTTATTTAATGGCTCTTCTGTAATAGAGGTAAATTGCTACCTCTTCTGTATTATGCATTTTGGCAGTTTCTGGAGTCTCTCTTTCTGTTGCTTATCAGTGGACAGCAACACGAAATTCAGTTTTCACGATTACCGCCTGTCACAAAYTTCCCTTCTCCTTCAAAATGAGTTCAGCGCACATGAAAAGTAGATAACATTATTCTGTATGGTTTCACGTCAAAAAATAGCAGTTCAGGGAAATGGTTGCTGTTCATGTTGATTTTGTTGAAGCTTGGAATTTTTGAGCAATCTAACCAAAAGACACTTAGCCTTCCTTTCTGTCTTTGTTTCTTACCCTGTCCTCTAATTCCTGGTAATCGCTGTCACGCACCTATGGGTGTTGCAGGGCCTGCTCTAGTACAGGCTAGTTTACACGCAGAAGAAGGCTACTTCTCTCGTTTTTGATGATGTTCCATATTCGATGTCAGCTAGAACTATAGTCCTTTTTGTACCCAACTGTACAATTATTTTCTTCAGGAGGAATTTTGTTTAAACTTTTCGAGTCTAGGAGGATCCACTCTTCTGATGGATCTGGTGAAGGAATAGATAGCCAGGTTGACTCTTCAGACATCAGAGCTTCTCCTGGTGAGGGAGGTGGGCCTCAGAAGGCAGCGTTTCTGTTATTCTTCCCTTACATGAGGTATATGGGCCCAGCGTTGCCTTGCAAAACTTCTGCCTGCCTCCACGTGGTTGCATACAAGYGTATGTATGCTCTGTATGTATATTTGCTTGTTGTGTAACAATATTAAGTTTCATCATCAAGTTTCTTAAAACAAATGTCCTGTGAGATTTTCAAAAGGAGCAGATTAATAGCTGTACAGCTTTATGCCAGCCATAAAAGTGATTTTAAATATTCTTTTTTCCCCCTTCCCAGATTTTCTTTTCAAATTCTGTGTAGTGATGCTAAATGATAATGCTTTACATGGGTTGAATACTAACCTAAGTTTATTTTCTCTGATGATTAATTAAATTTACCAAGTTTGTGATTCTGCTATCCTTCTACCTTTTCAAATCTTGGCAGAAACAGAAAGAGTGAAGATATTTCTAGTCTATAGGGAATTTTTGCTTGCAATATATTTCTTCTAAACTTTGTTTCATATAAATTAACTCTTTCTCCCTTGCTCTGTAGTTGCATCTCAGCTGTAATATAAATCTATGTAACAGAGGCTATTCTCATTTTTCCTATCCACGTAGTCATTTTACATGTTTGGATACATGTCTGTTTGCCACTTTGGAATTAGACAATTCCAATAGTCAAAATTTGGCCTTTCTGCCCTGTGGCTATGACTGTTCAACACTCTTAATAGATAATGTCTGAAAGGTACAAAAGGAGAGAAAGAGAAAAGTAGCTAAAGTTTTCCACAGAAGCCTTGGATTTTCTGCCGTGAGCCTGAAACACTGCTGCCAAGCCAGTACAATCTGTGTGCTGTTCACATGAACATTTACAGCTGGCAGATGACRGTTTTTTGTAAGGTCCCGGAATAGCTGCTGGAGATATTTTTTTGGCTTTATACATTGCTGAAATAATGCAACATTTCTGCACTAGCCAGTTGGGCTGTTTTGACACCTGCTCTCCTGCTTTGTTTTGCTTTTTTAGAGAAGACATTTCTTCTGTGTATTCTGTGTATTCTTCAAAAAGAGGGCTATTCAGTTGTTTTTTTCTCTCTTACAAATTTTCTTTAATTCTATGGAACTTGTTAATCACAATGAAAAGACAGTAGAGGTTTGCCCATCCATATGCAATCTATTCCTGTAGTAATAAGAAGATTAAAGGAGAGCCAATTCCCGGCACTTCCTTTGCTTTGTCTCCTAAACAGTGAGTTCCTCAAACAGTGCAAGCAGCTGTTTCCCATGTGAGGTGTTAGAACTGAGAAAACCTGTTGGTGACCAARACTGCATTTTCCTTTTCTGTTCCTATTATGTATAGACATGGACCTGTTGCAGATTGAGAAAGAAATGTAGTCTGGGGATCTGTCCGGTAGGTAGATCTGGTAGGTAGATAGGGATCTGTCTGGCACCCAGTCTGATAGGCCTGTTGTCTACCCTTTCTCCTTTTAATACACTGAGGATCTCTTCTGGCTATGACTCCTATCCATTTTTTAGAACTTCATGCAACATTCACTGAGGCCCCTGTGTTGACTGTGACTAGGAAGAAGACATTGAGCTAGGTGAAGTCATCTTTGATAACTGCTTTTGTTTCCTTTTCATTAATTCCCTTAGCTTCAACCACACATTATTGCCATTGTTTCAGGCAAGAGGAACCGAGAAAAGACCACTACGTGGTCTTCCAAAGGTACCTGCCTGAGCAGTGGATAGTTGGGTAGGCTGGATGTGACAAGTCCTTTGTGGTGKTCTCAGCTCAAACTAGGGACTCATCCACCTCTATCATATACAAAGCAATTAAAATAGGAAGGTATTTTCAACATCATGTACCAATTGTGTCAGAAAATGCTGTTCAGACTGTTTGAGTTTGGAGATACAAAGTTAAAAGAACTGAAGGTGAAAGCCCTGGAGGGGTGGTAGGAAAAAAAGATATTTTTGAGAGGTTAAAAAACA